GTCAATCAAGATATATGCAAGAACAGGCTTAATGATTAATTAGATGGAACATTGTGGGTGTGGTGTATGAATGTTAATACTCTGTAATAATTTTGTAGTATATTACTTGTGTAGCGCAGAAGATAATTATTTATCTAGAGATATTGCTTAGGATTTAAAAGTTGTAAAATGATGTCATGGGGTAGGACTAGATAAGTCTAACTTCTTCCTACTCCGTTCAAGCATGTACTAGGTATAAGTAAATTGATATTGGATTATTATTGTTGGATATGTGTGAAATTACATGTGTTGACATATCAACTGTTTTACATGCTTGAATGAATAAATCAAATCAAAATCAATACTCTTCCTCTAATTCCTTTCTCTCCTTCTCCTCTTGTTCTCATTTGAGTCGATCTTGTTCCTTTCTCTTCTCTTGATACTTTGCACGTTCCTGCTCATAATCATCTTGGAGTTTTCTAAATCTTCTCTGCTCCTCTTGTTGTCTCTCTTCATCTTCTTGATGTCGTTTCTCCAACCACTCTTTTCTTTCCTTTTCCCAGGCTTCTCGTTCTTTTCTTATCTCTTCTTGATTCTGCTCCAGCTTTCCCTCAATGATTTGCTTTTCTACTGATTGTGATTTTATTTGTTCCTCCAAAGCTTCCCGTTCCTGTTCCCAATCCTGCCGTTGAAGTTCTTCCTGCTCTTTCTTCTTCGTGTCTTGTTCTTCTCTCATTTCCTGTTCTTTTGTCCTGTTTTCACGCTCCTTGTTTATGTTTTCCTCCATTTCCTTAAGTTTTTCTTTGAAACCATTGATTTCTTCAGTTTGTTTTCTTGCCTCTTCTTCATACTTTGTCTTCATTATCTCCAGATTTTTCTCAGACTGTGCTTTTATTTGTTTTCGCTCTTGTTCCTCCTGTTCTCTTTTGAGTTGATCTTGTTTTCTTTGGTTTTCATATTGTTCTTTTTGCTGCTCATACTCTTCCTGGAGTTTTCTAAGTCTTGTTTGCTCCTCCTGTTGTCTTTGTTTATCCTGTCGTTTTTGTTCTTTCCACCATTCTATCCGTTCTTTCTCCCAAACATCTTGTTTTTTTCTCATACGTTTTCTGTTCTGCTCCAGCTTTCTCTCAATGGTTTGTTTTTCTATTGATTGTGTTTTTATTTGTTCCTCCAAAGCTTCCCGTTCCTGTTCCCAATCCTGCCGTTGAAGTTCTTCCTGCTCTTTTCTCTTCCTGTCTTCTTCTTCTCTCACTTCCTGTTCTTTCTTTCTCTGCTCACGCTCCTTGCTGATGTTTTCCTCCATTTCCTTTAGTTTCATTTCTCTCAGTTTTCTCTCCTTTTCAGTTTCTGCTCTCTGTTCTTCCATTCTTCTTTTCATGGCTTCCTTTTCTTCCTCATGTTTTCTTTCCAGCTCCTCTTTCTGCCTCCTCATCTCTTCTTCCTTCTCCTTCAGGATCCTCTCCACCTCCTTCTTTATTGCTGCATCAGCCTCCTGCAGCATCTCATTGGTGTAGCAGCTGCCTCCGTTCTCCTTCACCATGGAGTCAACTTTAGCTATTAGCTCAGACACTTGTGTGTGATTGTGTTTATCACGGTTATCAAACACATGATATCTTCCTCCACAGTCAGAGATCAGCTTCTTACAAGAGTCACTGCACTTTTGTTCAATGTAATCTTCAATAGACAGTTTCTCATATTTCAGGTCCTCTCCTTTTGTAAAAAGAACAATGGTGAACTTTTCTGAATTGTTCCCGAAGCCCTCCTTGATGAGTTTTAACATCTGCTTCTCCTCTGCTGTGAATCGGCCAATCTGTAACACCAACAGGAAGACATGTGGTCCTGGAGCCAGAAGACTGATGCATTTCACTGCTTCATCATTCACCTCTTTATGGGACAATTCAGTGCTAAAAAGACCGGGAGTGTCAACCACAGCAACAGGACAACTGTCCACTTCAGCCTCTGCTTTCTGACAATGTTTAGTGACTGATTTTTGACTTGATTCAGCTCTAAACTCCTCCCTTCCCAAAATGGTGTTTCCTGAAGAGCTCTTTCCACAGCCAGTCTTCCCTATCAGCACAATCCTCAGACACTCTGGCCTCTGATTCTCTTCCTTACCTGCAACATTAAAAGAATTCACAGCTGCTACAGTTAGCTGTAGTCTCAAGGCTGTAATGTAGGATGTGGTTATGGACATGCACAAAAACATTATAATTAAAGGTACTTACACATTATCTTATTCCTTTTCAGTTTCTCATGTTGTATGAATTTATCCTTGTGTGCATCTGCAAATGTTTCTGTTGTGTAGCAGCCTGGTTTGTCCTTGGACAGTCGCATCATGTCCACAGTGTGGAGAAGCTCACAGACCTGTTGCTCTATTTTATTCATTAAGTCCTCATCAGATTTTGGAAGATCCTTTTCGTTGAGGTTGATTGTGTGCAGCCTGTCTTTGCAGTCGTGGATCAGTCTTTTCACTGGGAAACTCACCCCCTCCTCAATGTCAGCTGTAGAAATGTAACCTCATGTTCAGACCTGGTGATGGATGAGTTGTATTCATGACATTATAAAAATGATTCCTGCACTCACCTGTATCTTTAACAGGTTTAACGCTGAAGCCGGCTCCTCCTCCTTGATGACCACTTTGTGAAACTGGTGTTGCTTCTTTGAAAACATCACAACTCACATGAATGCCATTATTCCTCTTCACCACTTCGTCTATGACTGTTAACAACTGTTGATGTTCAAGGTTTTGCCACAACAGCCTAGATCTACATTTTCTGACCAGGTCTTCTAACAGTGGATGTTCTGTAGATTTTTTAATGGAACCTGACTTCTCCTCTCTCGGTGGTGATATCAGAACCAGTGAATGATCAAACGATTGATCACTGAAGTTTTCAAGGATCAACTGTAGCCTCTCTGTGTGTTTCTCAGTGAAGTCTTCAGGCTGTAGGACCAGCAGGAAGACATGAGGTCCAGGATCAGAGAGGCTCACACAATCGTCTACATGTTTATTCAGGTCTCTGAAGGAGATGTCAGGATGTAGCAGATCTGGGGTGTTGATCAGAACTACTTCTTTCTCTTTCACCCATCCTCTGACTGTCAGACAGCAGGCTGGTTCTTCCTCAGTGTTGAACCTGGTCTCTCTCAGTATGATGTTCCCCACCTGTCTTCTCTCAGACCAGCTGTTCCCCAGCAGGATGACCCTCAGCTCTGACACTGAAATGAAAATTGGTTCAGGTATTCAAACACAAATTTACATGAAATCCCGGTTTGGAGTTGATAAAGTAGATGTACAGTAACTTTATTGTTTTTCAGCTAACAAAACTGTCTAAGCCATGATTTTATTTACTATAATAAAACTCTAAAGCTAATGAAGTAAAACCCAGTGCTCTTTGTAGCAGTAATAGAAATACATGTATGTAAAATAACATGATCATTTTATTCACTTCCATTTCATTTGTATAGTGCCAAATGAAGTAATCTCAGGACATGTTGCAAAGTAATTTATAGATTCTAAAATTTGTGCACTAATAACACAGCACTGCAGGATCACCCATGGTCATGCTAAAATGGCTTCCAGTCCATTTTAGAATTGATTTTAAACTGTTGATTTTTGTTTTTAAGTTTCTTAATGGTTTGACACCATCCTACCTCCCTGAATTAGTGCAATGGCACAAACCTACAAGATCCCTCAGGTCTTCATGGCAATTTCTCTTAGAGGTTCCTAGGGTCAGATATAAACACTATCTTTTATATCTTTGTCAGCTTTTACTGTTGATTGTGGAATACTTTACTTCTCAATGTTAGATCAGCTCCGGACCTGACTGCTTTTAAATCATTGGTTAAAACAAATTTATTTGCCTTGGCTATTAATACTATGTGGGTCTGATGCTTTAATGCTTTAAATTTATTTGTGTTATTGTGCTGTTTTATTCTTGTATTGATTCTTTTTTTTTCTTTTATCTTCCATTCTTCTTTTCATGGCTTCCTTTTCTTCCTTATGTTCCTCAGAGGGAAAAGGAAAAGAAAAAAAAGGAAAAAAAAAACAGGAAAAAAGGGGTAAAAGGGGGCAGGTAATATTCTCAGTTAATTTGGTTTGATTGATAGGTGTGACATTCAAAACAGTAGCATGGACTAAATAACCCAGAGTGCATTTGCTGGAGCATGGTTTATTTCATGGCATAGATGCTTTTCTTTTGCAGTGAAGCAGTTGACTTCCGGTTTTGAGGCTTGCACTTTTGTTTTGTGTGCGCACTTCCTGTGTGGCGTTTTGGGTGATGTAGCTTATTGTACGAAATTGATCAAGACAGAGTAATCTTAAACATTAGTTTCATACCGGCAGCCCCTCTGAAAGAGGCACAAGGTATGTTTGCTATGTTTAGTTATGTGTATGAACATTTTGTTGTGTATTGTACAGTGGTGTGAAAAAGTATTTGCCCCCTTACTGATTTCTTATCTTTTTGCATGTTTGTCACACTGTAATGTTTCAGATCATCAAACAAATTTAAATATTAGTCAAAGATAACACAAGTAAACACATCATGCAGTTTTTAAATGAAGGTTTTTATTATTAAGGGAAAACAATGATCAGGACAAAACAGGACAATGATCCAAAGCACACCAGCAAGTCCACTTCTGAATGGCTGAAGAAAAACAAAATGAAGACTTTGGAGTGGCCTAGTCAAAGTCCTGACCTGAATCCAATTGAGATGCTGTGGCATGACCTTAAAAAGGCGGTTCATGCCCGAAATCCCTCCAATGTGGCTGACTTACAGCAATTCTGCAAAGATGAGTGGGCCAAAATTCCTCCACAGCGCTGTAAAAGACTCATGGCAAGTTATCGAAAACGCTTGATTGCAGTTGTTGCTGCTAAGGGTGGCCCAACCAGTTATTAGGTTTAGGGGGCAAACACTTATTCACACAGAGCTTTGTAGTTTTGGATTTTGTTTTCCCTTAATAATAAAAACCTTCATTTAAAAACTGCATGATGTGTTTACTTGTGTCATCAGAGTTAAGTTATGTTTTGACAGGGGGGGGAAACACTTATTCACACAGGGCTTTGTAGTTTTGGATTTTGTTTTCCCTTAATAATAAAAACCTTCATTTAAAAACTGCATGATGTGTTTACTTGTGTTATCGTTGACTAATATTTAAATTTGTTTGATGATCTGAAACATTACAGTGTGACAAACATGCAAAAAGATAAGAAATCAGTAAGGGGGCAAATACTTTTTCACACCACTGTATGTCGATGTAGTATAATAATGCATGCATTCATTGTATGTAAATGTTTATCGAAGTAAAGTCAGTTTGTTTTGACTTTGAGTGAGTTGCAGAGATTGCGATATTTTTGAAATAGTTCATTTTCTTAATTGAGTATGGTAGGAAGGCAAGGTCTGCAACTTAAGTACTGGTGCATTGACTTTGTTCTAGTTCTATTCATGAGCTATTACAACTATCCTTCTGAATCCATTGAACTAAATATTGTAATTGATTTTCTTGCATTGATTCTATTTATTTTATTTTAGTTATGTATTGTGATCTTATTCTGCCCATGTAAAGTACTTTGGTCAGCTGGATGTTTTTAAAGTGCTATATAAATAAATTTGATTTGATTTGACACAGTAAATTCATCTAACACAAGAATAACTCTGACTGTTCAGTTCGACTCACTGTTTGATGGCAGGAACTCAAAGCTGCTGCTGCTTCCAATGCTGATCTTGATCTGCAACTGTAAGCACACAACACACACTTTCATCCTATATTTCCGTTTCATGTCATCTCTAATGGTCAAGCCTGGGACATGAACAATGCCATCATTAGTATCTACGATGTCTGTGGTACTGAGAATACTTAGCACTTGTCCTCTGGGCTGCACAGTATTTCCCCCTTGGTCCTTTATTCAGCTTTATTTGTATAGCACCAAATCACAGCTGAAGTAAACTTTACAAAGTAAGGTTTAGACCTTACTATTATCATTATTATTATAGAGGAAAAACCCAACAAATCGCCCTTGCGCAGCACTTGGCAACAGTGGGGAGGAAAAACTCCCTTTAACGGAAGAAACCTCCTTGGTGGTCAGCTTTCTGCCACCTCGGGGTGGGTGGATAGAGGAGAGAGAAAAGAAAAGAGATTCAACAAGACACAACCAGCACAGCAACAAACAATCAAACACTGGGCAGGTTGATGTGGCTTGTGACTACTCATCAGAAACGTAGAGCTCCAGAAGCAGGGCCACCTGTAGAAAGGTACAGGGAGAGAGAGAGAGGACACACTACAGGAGAAAGGAAACACACACCATTACACATCACAGTAGTGATGTGTAATGGTGGCATATAGATGCATGGAGAGGAGTGGAGAGGGGAGGGGAGAAACTCAGAGCATCATGGGGCCCACCAGCCATCTAGCCCTATTGCAGCATAACTAAGGGAGGGCTCAGGGTCAGCGCTAACTACATGGTTGGTGAAAAGTAACTAGGCATTAAAAATTGGCTATAGAACTTGTAGTATCACTGGAGTCATGATGAAAACAGTCTCTAAATAGACAATAGTAAATAGTATTTCATATGAAATTGATAGTAAAGAGGTGTCATATGAAATATAACTGAGTATCATCTGCATAGCAATGGAAATCTATGCTGTGCTTCCTGATAATATTGCCTAAAGGGAGCATGTACAGTATAAAGTAAAGAGAATTGGACCTAACACAGAGCCCTGTGGAACGCCATGACTAACTTCAGTCTGTGCAGAAGATTCATCATTAACATGAACAAATTGGAATCTTTCTGATAAGTAAGATTTGAACCAACTTAGTGCCGTTCCTTTAATCCCAATAACATGTTCAAGTCTCTGTAATAAGATGCTGTGATTAGTGGTGTCAAAAGCAGCACTGAGATCTAAGAGGACAAGAATGTGGACGTCATAGATAACTGGAAAACATTTTGGGGAAAACCTGGTCTGATTAGCAGAGACAGCACCCCATGGTACAGTTCACAGCTCCACTCCCTAAAGCAGGCATGACGAAAACTGGAAAGGAGGTGGCGCTCCACTAAGTCAGAAGAGTTTTTCATAGTCTGGAAAGATAGTTTAATAACATATAAAAAAAGCCCTTTTTAGTGCAAGAACCACATTTTATTCATCACTGATTGAGGAAAATAAGAACAACCCCAGGTTTCTTTTCAGCACTTTAGATTGGATATTGGTCTATAATTAGCT